CACACACACACACACACACACACACACACACACACACACACACACACACACACACACACATTGAGCAATAAGAAATGGTTGCCATCGTGTAGCTCTGCTCACTGAGGAAGTACAGTGTTCTGTCAAGCTCCTCCCACTTGGCTCTCTTGTTGATGTTGTGTTAGAGAGCGGTAGACAGTATTTAGTTTCATGGGTTATTATTGGCAGCAGTATTATTTACAGTGGTAGTAGTACTATGAACAGCAGTAGCAGCTGCAGTGGTGGTATTTGTATGTTGTGCAGATTGTAGATCCATCTGAGATGAACGTGTGACTTTTGTCACTTCAATCAATCGTGCAGTCATGTTTAGTATTTGCATGCTCGCTTGTTTTGTCTGATCGGTTTTTCATAAAAGCCTGAGAAAACCAACACATATTCACGTTTGACTGGCTGCAGACATTTGGGAAAAAATAAGAATAAATTGAGTATTAAAATAATTGATGTTTAATTGTTTAATTGATCAAATTTATTGTTTCAGCTTCATGCTTCATACAGTTTCCCATATTAACATAGTATTGTAACATACATGCACCTTTCAAGTAGTAGCAGCAACAGTAGTATAGCTGTAGTAGGAGTGGTGTTAACAGTAGACAAATATCCCTATTTTAGTTTAACAAACCTCTTATTTTTAATTTCACTATTATATTTTCACTGTTAACCTGTACTTATTTCTGTCCATGTGCCGCTGCAACTCTGGGGATCAATACACCTTATCTGAAGTTAGTTGTGTGTGAGTTTGTTTCAAGGGGAGTGTGAGCTCCACCCACTGTGTGTTTGTTGTGTGTGTGTGAATGAGAGAGAAATGAAAGCCTCCTTTTGTCTTGTCAGCACATGTTTTCCATGGGATGGATGAAGAGAGAGGGGGGGAGGAAAGACAGAGGGGGAGGGAGCGAAGGAGGATCTGGGCGGTCTCCCAGTAGCTGAAATAAACAACATTCTGTTCTCCTCAGTTTGGGACATGTTTCCCTGTTTTTGCCTTCAGCTCTGTTCCCACTTTGAAAAAAAAACATCCAGGAATGTCCTTAGAGCTGAACTCTCTGGTCATGATGTCTCATGAAGACTTATGATGTGGAGAAAAACTGAGAATGGCACAGCAGCAGGACTCCAGGGTCTAAGATTGAAAGTTTAATTTGCCCGTCTTTCTCATCCTCATTCCACCCCGTCTATCTCCTTCCCCCTTACCTCTTCCCTCATTATCCTTCCTCTTCCTCCTCCCCCATCTCTCTTTCCTCCTTCCCTCTTCTTCCCTATCTATCTCCTTCTTCCCCCTTCCTCCTCATCTATCCTCTTCCTCCTTCCCCCTTCTTCCACCCTGTCTATCTCCTTCCTCCCTGTCTATCTCCTTCCACCCTATCGTCCTCCTTTCCACCTCTTCCCCCTGTCTATCTCCTTCCTCCTCATATATCTCCTTCCTCCCCATCTATCGTCCACCTCCTTCCCTCTTCTTCCATCCTGTCGATCTCCATCCTCCCTGTCTATCTCCTTCCACCCTATCGTCCTCCTTTCCACCTCTTCCTCCCCTTCTATCTCCTTCCTCCTCATATATCTCCTTCCTCCCCATCTCTCGTCCACCTCCTTCCCCCTTCTTCCACCCTGTCGATCTCCTTCCTCCCTGTCTATCTCCTTCCACCCTATCTATCGTCCTCCTCCTTCCCCCTTCTTCCTCCCTGTTTAATCTCCTCTCTCCTTCTTCCTCCCTTAGCACCAGTTCGGAGCAGAGGAAGCTGCGTTCTCGTGATGCGGCCCGATGTAGGCGGGGTCAGGAGACGGAGGTGTTCTATGAGCTGGCCAGCACTCTGCCGCTGCCCCGTCGAGTCTGCACCCACCTGGACAAATCCGCCATCATGAGAGTCGCCCTCAGCTTCCTGCGGATGCACCACCTCCTCCTCCGACCCGGTAAGAAGCACGTCTTCAGATGGTCGTCCATCCCGAAGGAACCTGAACGCTCCCCAGTTTTCTCTTTTATTGTTGAGTTTTTGTTTTGTCATGATACGAATGCCACCTATAGTATATAATGTTTGTACTGTATGTCGGCACAAAATGCTGATTTCACTAAAACAAAAATCTTCATTGTTTTTGTTGTTGCATGGCTCAGCGATAGCAATGTCCAAATGTTAAATAGTGAAATCCGTATGGCATCACAGGAGCAGCAGCTCTCTGACACTTTGCACGCTCAGCATTTGGGTTTTTCCTTCTGTCAGTGTGTTATTCTGGCAACATGAGTCGGCTCGGTGCTGTTTTGCTCCCTCTGGTGTGAGAGCAGAGTAATGAAGTCCTCAATAATAAAGGGACGACTCTGACTTTATAATATTATTCAGGCGACAAACGTGAAAAATGCATCAGGCTTTGGCAGAGTGGTTCTGCTGATAGCTGTGGTCATACCAGAAAACATCCTCACTGGAAGAAAGAAATGTTGTTTTTCACTGTTAATGCATTTTTTATACTTAGTGTTTATTTATGAGGACCAAAAATATGACAACAATGTGCCCAATGACTGGAGAATATGTTAACCTAAAGAGTAACACAAGTAAACACAAATGATTCAGAGTTACAGTAAAGCAGTCCGGTTCGTTAAATCCAACAGGCAATGGAAGTTTGAACCAAAGCTGCTCTGTCTGTAATAATCACCTGGTGGTTTTTTACTGCAGGTGAGAATCAGAGCGAGGAGTCTGAAGAGAAGGAGGAGAAGAAGGAGGAGGAAGAGGAAGAGGAGGAGGAAGAGGATCCAATGGATTCTTTCTACCCTCAGGCGTTGGCCGGCTTCATCATGGTGATGACCGAGGAGGGAGACATGATCTACCTGACGGAAAATATCAGCACACACATCGGCGTCACACAGGTACAGCATTAGGTTCATCAATAACAATTCAGTACATTTATTGGAACTCGATCAATACCTTATAAATGTTGTTTTTTTTCATTTTAGATTTTGCTAGAATTTATTACATTAGATGTTAAATCTAATCTTTTATACAAGTGAGTGCAGTTCAAAGTGCTTCACAGATGACTGATGGGCCAGACGTAAGACGGATTAAGTGAAATCAACAGAAAAGACAACAGCAATTTGGAAATTTAACATTTGAGATCAATGCAAGCGAGACAATAAAATGTTAAAAAATATAATAAATATAATAAAAGTACAGTAATGTTATTTAAACAGTATGAAATTAACACGAAATGAATAAATTAGAATAAAATGATCAAGCTCAATTAGAATAGAATAGGTGATTAATGGTAATCGGTATGACATTTTTAGGACGTTTCTTTAATTTGAGTTTTTACTGTAAGCCTCTAGGACGGTACATGACTTACTCTGAGTAACCCGAGCCGAATGAGAAGCCTCCAATCTATTCTCAGCTCTGTTTGGGATCAGGTTTGTCTTTGAAACACAACTTGGTCACGATAAGTAAAGTGCAAACAGGAACACAGAGTGAAACGTGACGTGGAGCTGAACTGATTTAACTCAACTCTGACCAAATTCAGCTCCCTCAGCAGGGATTCCACAGCATCTGACAGGGATTCAATTCAATCTACAATCCATGTAGATTTGATTAATTTATCAGCACCACGGTGAATTGTTCAGTGAAGAAAAATGAGCACAGATGAACCTTTAACCAAGACAGCAGTCATACATGATTGTACATGAAATACATGCATAACATACATAGTAGTATCATGAATAGTATTTCCATTTGTTGTCTACAGCTGGAGCTGCTGGGTCAGAGTATCTATGACTTCGTTCATCCCTGTGATCAGGAGGAGCTCAGAGACCTGCTGACTCCACGTCCAGGTCAGACCTCTATTTACTATATACAACAGAAATCCTTCAAACAGAGGGCATTCCAGGTTTTCTTCCCGGGAACCAAACTGGACTTGTAAACATAAAGCTTAGACCTGTGACTTTTTTTTATGGATGATAAACATTGAAGTTGATAACCTTCTGTGAGCTAGCTGCGTTAGCTTTGTCATCATGCTGCTTTCAGGTTCCTGTAAGAAGCAGTTGGCAAAACGGCCGAGCGAGAGGAACTTCTTCCTGCGGATGAAGAGCACTCTGACCAGCAGGGGGCGCACCGTCAACATCAAGTCTGCTGCCTGGAAGGTGCAGTGTTACCACGGACACACAAAGCCAAACAGCTAGTGTCCTCACACACACACACAGCAGCAGATTTCTAGTTAGTGCTTATTCATGCCTGATGTAACAGCAGAGAGGAATGTTTTCTTTATTTGTAATGAAAAGGTTCTGGAATCATGCAATTCTATCCAAATGCTACAGCCTGAAGACTTCAGCTTCAGGACTCAAGTATCAATCCGGTGATAAAAACAAAGACTTCTCAATCAATGTTAGCCTGGTGAACTTCGAAAACAATAGACAATAAATAAGAGAGTGACGTGCATGCTTTAAGAGCCACACAGCTTGGATATTTAAATGTAGGCCTCTGCATTAAATGGACATTTAATGATCAAAGATACTTTTATCAGATATTTGCTTATTTGGATAAATCCGTTGTTGGTGTTAAGGCAACATTAAAAACTTCTGCTTTGGATTTGTTTGGCATTGGAAAAAAATGTTTTCTTTCCGGTAAATTAAGCACAAACAGCAGTGGTGGGCGGGGCGAAACAAAATTGAGAATTTCCCAATGAGAAAGAGTTTTCAGACTTTTTTGTTTTTACTTGTTATGTGGGAAAACCATGTTAAACAAAATGATTTGTATTTTTTACATACTTTGAAATGTGTCTGGATGGGACCTTTAATCTTCGCTCTCATGTTCTGCAGGTTCTCCACTGCACGGGTCACATCCGTCAGCTGGGTGGCGGCTCCGCGTCGCCTCCTGTGGGCAGAGTGATGACCCTGCTGTGTGAGCCCATCCCTCACCCGTCCAGCGTGGAGTTCCCCCTGGACACGCACACCTTCCTCACCCGCCACAACATGGACCTGCACTTCACACACTGCGAGGGCAGGTAGGACCAACTCTGAGTCCCGTGACTGAGCCCGACCTTTGACCTCCCTGTGGATGGGAGGCAAGAGAAAAGGGAGGTTTTTTCACTTGACAGAGAGAGATAGGAGAGAGAGGAAAATAAATTCCTGAACCTTTATTTGTTTATCTTCTGGTTTCCAGGGTGACAGAGTTGGTGGGATACAAACCTGAAGATCTGATTGGCCACTCGGCCTACGAGTTTCATCACGCGCTCGACTCTGATCACGTCAACAAGAGCCTGCACACACGTGAGTTTCAATGTGTGTGTGTGTGTGTGTGTGTGTGTTGTACCAGAAAAAAGATATACTGTACATTTAAATACAACTACAACCAATACTAATAGTGCTTATATATATTTTTTATGTTTTTTTCCTTGAATATACAAGTCTTTATTATATTAATGATATACTGTATATAACCATGTAGATGTACTTTGTGATTATTACTTATAGATGTTGAACCATGTATTTGATCTCTTTTCACCATATTTGGGTGACTTAATTCTTTTGTTTCATGGATTGTACATTATTGAAGCCCTTAGAAGAATTTATAACATTTTAAGTGGAAGTCAAAACATGACATTTGCACAAATATGTTATAACTTCTGTAAACAAACGGGACAGAGAATGAGTCCACGCACACAGAGGCAGGGTTTTAGTCAATGCTCTGGTCCTTCATGAATGTACCTTGTTTTTCATACCAATGTCTTATTTCTTTGTTTGTGTCCCTGTCTGCTGTAGTGCTGTCCAAAGGTCAGGTGAGCACCAGACACTACCGTTTCCTGGCGAACGGCGGCGGCTTTGTGTGGACGGAGACTCAGGCCACCGTCCTCTACAGCAGCAGGACGTCGCAGGCCGAGGCCGTCGTCTGCCTCAACTATATTCTCAGGTGCTTTAAAAGTATTAAACTCATGTCACATAGAGTCTACGGTAACAGTAGACGTGGGGAGGGATGTTGTGTTTCATAACGGATGCACTCCCTCTCCTACTCCTTCTTCACCTCCGACATGGTCCTCCTCTCCTGCAGTGCCGTGGAGCAGCCGGACCTCGTCTTCTCCGTGGAGCAGACCCGTTGTGGCCGGCTGGCTGAAGCCGAGCCCCACGTGCCGGCGCTCGCGCCAGAGGATTGTGAGGCTTCCGACATCAGCGACTCTGACCCGGACGGTGAGCATCTCGCCAGCTCCAGTCAGACTGAGGCCGCAGGTTCGAATCCCGACAGCGCTGAAGAGCTTTTCTTCAAAGGGAAGGAGCCGCCGGAGGAGCTTCTCCAGTTGGATCCAGAGGCCGGAAACGCCATCGTCCCACTGACAGGAGGTGAGACACACCACAGACATTTATATTTATATCCAAATATTTATATATATTATCTGCCTAAAATGGGAACTAGCTATGGTATCTTGTAAAATGTACACTCAGTGGCATGTTTGACTTTCTTCTGCTTCCTGTCTGTCAAAGAACTTATATCAAATTACTATCGTTGGTTTAGTATTTCTGATCTTTTGCTTTATCATGAACCATCCAGACCTCTCAGGTCGGCTTTCTGTCCCCAGAGTCCAAACTAAACACGGAAAAGCTGCCGTCATTTTTAAAGCTGCACATACTGTATCTGGAACAAATTCACAGAAAACTCCACTTTTCTGTTTGCTGCTGTCTTTTATTGAATTATTTCTTACACAAACTGTAACTTTTATTATTTTTTTTATACTCCTATTCTATTTAAGCTTGTCTTTATTTTCTAATCTCTTGGTTCTTTATTGACTGTTTTAAGTGTATATAAATGTCCTTTTATAATGCTTTTTCTTTTGCACTTTGTCGCCATGCTTTTGATGTTTTAAGTTTTAAGCACTTTGAGTTGTCTTGTTGCTGAAATGTGCTACGTTATTCAACTTGCCACAACAGTCCACAGCCATGCTAACAGCTAAGGCACAGCGGTGCTTTGAGCTAAATGCTAACATTAGAATGCTAACACACTAATATTTTACTATAAAATGCAGAAGGTTGCTGTTTGTAAACACAGCGTTTAGAATTCACCCCCTGAATGGAGAGAGGGACCGGTGTTGGTGAGCAGGAAGCCGTGAATCAGAAGAATAAAACGTTACTTTCTGATTGTTTCACAGCGGTTACGCTCTAAAGCACAAATAGACACATCGACACCTCCCCACAAACCTGCGGGGGGGTGCCAGATTTCGAATGAATGCAGCCCAAAACCGTTGGGAAGTTTTAATGTGTACCATGTTCACCACCTTTGTGTTAACATTCTAATATTTGCTAATTAGAACGGAAACGCAAAGTACAGCTGAGGCTGGTTTTGGTTTTATTTACGAGTCTCTTTGTGTTTTCTGTCTCTGTCAGATTTTGTTGCGCTGTCGTTCACCAGTCTGCCCAGTCCAGACTCAGTGCCGGACCACCCTCAGGACCTGTGCACTCCACAGCTGCGACAGCTCCTCTCACCCATCTTGGGCCTTATCACTCCACCTTCATCATCATCACCGTCATCACCGGCCGCCCCACCTGATGTTGAGTTGGTAAATACGAGCCCTACATCTTTTTAAATCTTTGAAAGCATACGTTTCTCTGATTTAACAGTTGACTCAATTCAATTCTCTTAGCTTTATTTGCACGAACAAAAACAAAGCAGTTTACAGACTATTACACACATTTCATATTAAATACCCAGGTGTCATATTTGACTGATGCAGATATATTCCCTCTCTTTGTTCGTTCTGTGTCGACCTTCCTTTAGAGCCCCTGTAAGGAGGAGGTGACGGACACCAGCATGGTGGAGAAGTTCTTCGCTGTTTGGTCAGAGGGTGGTCAGAAGAAAGAGGAAACACTGGAGGTAACAGCAGAAAACACTCTTCTCTCAGAAGACCAGCTTATGTCTTCTGCCACAGCCTGGCTGACGGGAGACACACACTTAAGGAATAAAGTGATTTATTAATCAAAAAGTAAGTAAATATAGGTCAAATAAATGGAAGGGACAACTCTGTAAAGTCAGTAGTGTAGGGAGTGGACGTGTGGTTGCATGGGTGTTGTGCTGTAAATACAAAGAAAATAAACCAAAAGACACAGCAAAGCTCTGGAGTGAGAGGAGATCTGCCAACACATGATTTCTACTGCTCAACCAAACAGTGGGGCCGTTACAAGGGTAGTATTGTAAGCTTTTATTTTCATTATAAAAAAGGTGAAAATCTTGTTTTTAAAACATCTAAAATTCAAATCTCATGGTTTAAAATCAGATGATAACACGTTGTGCAGCCCAAACACACTGTGTAACTGTTCACATTACTTTGAACAGCTACTTCTACAAATCGGTCTGTTTACTTCGTAACAGTGGAATCATATTGTGACCTGCATATGCCACACAACTGTGTGAACATGAATTTGTCAAATATTTCACTCTCTTACTTGTAGTTATTTTGTGGAAATTGGTCAAAAACAAAGAGCGTTAAACATCTGGCATGTAAGATCATGATGAAGATGACTTTAAACTATCAACAATCCATCAGAGAGTGTGAATATCTGATGGCTGTAAAAACTAAAAACCAGTGTAGACAGCTGTAAATATAATTGATGCTTGGGCCTTAAAATGTATTTGGAAAAAGGAAAACTTTTTCAGTTGTTTGTGGACAACTAAATGTTACTTAATGTTGTTCTCTCTCTCTCTTTTTTCTGTGTAGATGGAGGTGATGGATCTGGAAATGTTGGCTCCTTATATCTCTATGGACGACGACTTCCAGCTGACCGTCCTCAGTCTGCCGGAGGAAGCCGACATACCTCCGTCTTCTTCTTCGTCCGAGCCCTCAGCTGGGACACCTGCAGTCACAGGGAGCAGGAAACGGTATGATGGGCTACTTCCCTCCATACACTCACATTTTCAGGGATTGTCAGTCGTGGAAGGAAGTGAAATGAAATGAGCATAAGAGAAAAAGAAAAGTGTAGAAAATTAGATATGTGCTGAAGAGAAAGAGAGGAAACAGATATTTTAAGTATTATATTTAAGTATGTAAAAATAGATTATACAGGAAAAGATGCAACATCCGTCCAATCTTAAATTTGTCTGTGCACAAGCTTTTAATAATCCGTCAAACATTTCTAAATTAATTTTGTGGAAACGTATTCTTTTATAATATTTTGGGGAAAATACACTTTTTATGAAATAAAAATATATGTTTACAAAGTGGGACTGATGACAAGTGGAGCTGCAGAAATATGAGCATATTTGATTTATTTGTGAGCAGCCTTCATGGAATGTCAGACATTTGCGTGTCAAGTGTTTCACTCCAAAATAAATGAGATAAACAAGCATACCTTTTGCCACGAAATGATAATAAGCATTTAGTACTGATGCTGCAGTAATTCGTATCACACATGAGATCGCAAGCTTTCTCTACGCAGCGTGTCATAAGTAGAGACGTTATCTCGTAGATCATAAATGGGACAAATTGCTTCAAGCACGATTTTGAAAACAGGGCTCCTTTTGTCCAAACACACAATTCTCACATCCGCACACACACGCAGCAGACATCCTCAGCTCTTTTGCAAAATGAAACACTCAAAACAGTTTCAATAGTTGTGCATCATGTGTCATTGTAGTGTATTAGTAATTGGAGGAAAAAAAATTGGAAGAAAAAACAAAAACCTGCCTGACAACTTTACGATAATCAGACTTTTCTATCTAACGGACACAAAATGTAAAGTTTGTCATAAGGGTGGCGCCACAGATGAGACTATGTCGTTATCTAAATCAAAAGGGTTTATCCTCTGTACGGTGGCCACTGTAGGACAAATGAGGACGTGTCAGACTCAGTTTAGCAGGCTCACTTCTACAATGAAGATTATTTTGTCAGCCTCAGCCAGAGGGTGGGACCAAGTTATTGTTTTGCAAGTCACAAGAAAGTCTTAAGTGTTTGCACTCAAGTCCAGAGTCAAGACTAAAAAGTTCCAAACAAGTCATAAAGCGCTCTGCAACAAATGTAATGTTAACAACAGAGTAATACTATATCATGAATGCTTTCTTGACAAGAGTGACTGAATTTTATCGCAAAAAAAGTTCTTGGAATTTCCGTGTGAATGAATAGTGTTTACATTAACTGATTCAGGAAATTAATTGATTCGTTACGCAATTTTTAAATATCATGCTTTTTTTTTTTAAGCTTTGATGAAGGTATCAAGTGTTTTCAAATCAAAAGGCTCAAGTCCAAGTGAAGCCACAAGTCTTTGGTGTTTGAGTCCATGCCAAGTCTTTTATTTTTTTTGTCAAGTCTAACATCATCAAATTTGTGACTTGACGCCACACCTCTGACCTCAGCTGTACTTTGGGCTAAATTCTTACATTAGCAACTTATTTACTTACCGGCTTAAATGCAGGTTGTACAAACTTTATAATGCAAGTCTAAAAAAATCCTGCATTTAAAAGAAGGTCTCACGGTTTACAATCTCCCTGTCTCTCTTTTAGGGCTCATAACGTGGATGAGGAGATGCCTTCCCAGCTGATGATTCAGGACAAGAAACAGAAACAAGATCCTTCCTCAATAGAAGAGGAACTTCTTCTCAGCCACAGACTTCTGGTGAGTGATTAAAAAAAAATAGAAAAAGCTTACTGGCACCTTTTTTGAGAAAGTTTATAAAGCGCTTTAGAGAATGAAAGAGAAGGAAGATTCAACGTGTACCTGGAACAAATGAAACTTTCTGAAGAAGAAAGGAAAGTCATTTATTTGAGATGATAGATGGAATTTATAAGTCTGACGTTTTTGCAGAGTAGAGAGAAATTAAATGAATTAATTTGATTCAACATTATCTTTGAAAAGAAATTGCTCTTAAAATAATTTCATCTCAATGAATGAATATTTCTTCAAGATTTGACAGTTTTATCAAACGAAGCTCCTCCTCACCTTTCTTCATTCTGCATCTTCAGAGCTGTCTGGAGGAAACCGACCAATTAGATTTGTTCCTGGACCCGATGGCTGAAGGGCGAAGTCATCTGCTCACAGACAGAGACCCTGTTTTAGGAGGCACACAGGGACTCTGTGATACTGCAGGTGAGATTAACACACACACACACACACACACACATACACACACACTCTCTCACACACACACAGTTACAGAGAAACCACAGTGACTTAACAGTTTCCAGCCTCAGACTTTTAAATTGGTTGTAGTTAAAATGAAAACCATTGTTAAGTTCAGGGGCTGAACGAAATGTTCCTGAGGGCCGCACAGTTATAACTTTTTATTTATTTTTTCAATATTTTTTAAATAATTTGGCACCAAAGACCTCAGCTGATGAACTCATTAGTTTTTTGGGCCGTAACTGAGGAACTTACATACTGTTTATGACAATTTCACATAAATGTCTCACAGAATAAAACAATTAAGTTTTGGACGTTTTTGGTCGTTGATGTAAACTGCAACTTGACTTGTTGGTGGATGCATACTACTGCGAGGAGGTTATAAGGCGGCTAGTTACTTTAATATGACTTTTTTTATGGCTGCTATACCATGACACACTATAGTATGAATTTTATGACTATAACGTTTAATTCATTTTACGACATACTTTACTTATTTGTATCTCTTTTACTTCTATATTTATTTTCTAAAGAATGTGAGTGATTTTATTTACCTGGGAATTTAGCCTCTTATGGTCAATGCGGGGGGGCAGTTGCAGTTGCTGGGTCGCCGGTTCAAGTCCAAGTGGTAACGGATTTTAACTAATCCAAATTGGAATGTTAAAATCAGGTGTAACTGAGTTCTTAAAGGGCCATACCGCCCAAAATCTTTTGCGATTCAAATGCCCTCTGCAGGTTAACAAAGAGGCCGCCATCACTCCTCTAACGCCTTTGTGTCGCTCTCTCTTACAGCTCTGATGAGGGACATATTCACACCTCGTCCACCTGACCTGTTGCCGCCTCTAATGCTCATGACTTGACAGAGCTCCTTTCGCCCCAACTTCTGCGCTCAAACCGCCGGACGCAAATATAGACTGACGCACATTGTGTAACCACGCTTTGAGGTCCGTCGTGACCTCAACGCTTTTGTAGCTGAACCAAGAAAGGTCTAAGTGAGAACTGATGACAGGTGATAAAGCAGATGGGAGGTGCTGCAGTTTGCTTTCTTTAACCCAGTCGCTTGTTTTCACTCTACATTTTAAACGTAATCTCTGAGTCAATGTGAGGAACCAGCAGGTGGTGCTAAAAATATGTTGTCAAAAATACTCTGAGACAAATCTGGAAATATTTCTCTGTGCAGCTAAATGAGATTCATCACACCTTTTAATTGGATCACATTTAATTAGTTTCAGTATGTGTCATTATTTAGGCATGATGCGCAGGAACTCCCATAATGCTCTGTTTTAACTTTGAGCCAACTTCTTTCAAGTATGACATTTTTTTTCCAATCCCACTGCCATTTTGTGTTTTCTTTCAAATTACTTCTCCAAAAAAAAAAAAATGTAATATCAGTGGCAGCGTTTATTTCAGTGGCATATTTTTACTGTTATTCTTATTCTTATACACTCTGAACTGTTATTACCGTGTTATCTAAAACCACGATGGCCTCCAAATGACTCGTGGCGTTTGTTTTAGCTTCCTGTGGTGCCAGGTGGGCGGGGTTTACCTCATCCAGTGCTCCCTACAAACTAATGTGAGGCGATCGATCACATGTTTGGTGCCAGCCTGAACCTGTTTACTACAGAGGAAACACGAAGTGAGCTAAACAAATAAAAAAGCAGTTCAGTTTGTCCTTTTTATTATAATTAAAACCAATTAGGAAATAGAATGTGATTAAGAACTGATGCTAATAGTAGATGTTTGTTTTTTAAGTAGCGACAGCTTGTTCATGCTATCTTTAGAAATGCATTTAAAACAATATATTGTGTCAGATAGGAGTTTGATTTTATGACTTGTAACAGATTGTGCCTCAACATGCTCGGTATAAGGAGAGTAGACTTGTATTTTACAGTTGTAGCATTTGATGAATATATCGTATTGTGTCATATTGTGATTTGTTTTGGCCTCAGACATCTGGTATTTTCTACAAATAAACCCTCAAACTGCCAACTATCCTAAAAAAAGACCAATTTTTTGTTTTTATTTCAAACCAGTTCTTAGTGCCTTTTATCATTGTGTACAGTTTTATCCTGTTTGCATTCTTAAGCTAAAAGTTGTTGAAGCAGAAGCTCGTTCGTGGGAGGAGCGGCTCCGTCTCTAGGTGAGCAGTGAATGTTTCATTTTCCCAGAATCAGGAGCTTCTCTCCTCGTCAGCGCAGCTCTGAAACAGGATGATCACGTTAATGTGCCATAAAGGCTTTTAAATAAATCTCAAAAACAGAAAACGGTAAATTTGACTGTAAACTACAGCCAAGAACCTTAAATAGAATCATCTCTATGTTGGTAAAAAGGTGCTCCCTTTACTCAAGTTCTTAAGTACAGATTTGAGATACTTGTACTTTACTTGAGTGTATTTTTTTGTAATGCACTTCTACTCCACTACATTTGAGAGCTTTAGTAACTAATTACTTCACTTTATTTTTGACTCATTTAGTATTGATGCTTTTATGTTTTATTCAACTCAATAACTATTGATTTCTTCTATGACTACTGCTGATCCATAGGCCCGAAAAGTTCCAGTTTTGTTTCATCGCTCCACAGAATGGAATTCCAAAACTTCTGTCTTATTGATATGGTTTTGAGCATATTGGATCCTATAGATCAGCGGTATGTTTGGAGGAGAAAGAACGAAGCATACACTGAGAAGAACACCCTGTCTACAGTGAAGCATGGCTCGGTGGCTCGGTGATGCTCTGGGGCTGCTTTGCTGCGTCTGGCACTGGAAACCTGCAGCGTGTGGAGGGCAAGATGGATTCAATCAAGTATCAGGAAATCCTAGGAGAAAACGTCATGCCGTCTGTGATGAAGCTGAAGCTTTGGTGTCGTTGGACTTTCCAACAAGACAATGATCCCAAGCATACCTCAAAGTCCACCAAGGCTTGGTTTCAGAAAAGGTCCTGGAAGATTCTAGAGTGGCCATCACAGTCGCCTGACTTGAAAATCCACAGAAAATCTCTGATTAGATTTGAAGAAGGCGGTTGCAACACGCAAACCCAAGAATATTCGAGAGCAGGAGGCCATTGCCCATGAGGAATGGGCTAAGATTCCTCAGGAATGCTGTCAGAACTGGTGTCTGGCTATGCATCACGTTTGCATCAGGTCATAACAGAAACTCTGTAAAGACACCAACGGACATCTTGTATCCATCCCCAACTCCATTGGTCCCTACAACGGACGCATCATATACCCCGGTCAGTCAGTCACCTGCTTCATCTGCCACTCTGCTGACCACCAGGTGAAGCAGTGTACGTTTGTCAAATGTTGGAGATGTGGCGGATTGGGCCACATGGCCAGAGTCAGTGCACACCTTCTTCGGCTGCCCCGCCTCATACTCCAACAGGGTGAGATCTCAACACCAGTCGCCTCCTACCACCCTGCAGCGGTCTGTCCCTCCACCCTCCTCCCGGCAGGGGACCAATCCTCCTCCACCCCCCCCAGCCTCAGCCGGATCCTTCTCCACCTCCTCAGCCTCAACCTGATCCTCCTCCAGCCCGTCAGCTGCCTGGTAGACAGCCGGATATCCACCAGCTTCGGTCCCTGTTCCATCCCTCAGCCCCGAGGCCGGGACCTGCACCTCCTCGGACCCAACAGCCCGTTGCAGATCCTTTTGCTCATCAACAACGTCCTCAGCGAAATCAACCTGCCACAGCCGAGAGTCAACCCTCAGCTCCTCCTCCCGATGATGAGGTGAGGGGAGATTAATTAATGTAAGTGAATCAGAGAGCGAGTATAGTAGTGATGAAAATTATTATGAAAGTGCCAGTGAGAGCCTCAGGTCAGACTTCAGCTCGATCAGTCTGACAGCTGGCCAGAGAGCCAGCACCTCAAAAACCAAAACCCGTATAGACAGAATTTATGTATCGTCACACTTCAAAGCAATAAATTATAGAACCGTATTAAAAGAAAAGGAGGAAAGCTCATTGTCAGCGTCACATGTTTTAAATGAAGAAAAACCAGATGTACAATGATAATACAACAGACTGTAATGGACGGCAACATGGTGGCAAAACATATAGTCACTGACCTTTTGTATCTGTCTTTGTGTTATGTCCGTATACTTGTGAATCATGTATGTATTTGTGGAACTGTAGATCTGGAATAAATTAAATAAAGTTTTCCAAAAAAAAAGGAAGAGACACACCTGATCCTGATCTCCTCATCAGGGAGGTGAACAAAGGGCAAGGAGGGAAACGGAGCAGAGAGAACATGAATGGATGTGGGAAAATGTCAACAGTGAACTAAACAGGAGCCAGCAAGGTAGGAGAGAAGGACTCTGTGGGAAGGTGGTGAGAGTTTATTTTAGGAAACACATCAGGACCAGGTGTTGCTCATGAAGCTGATGACAAGATCCTACAAGACAAAGAACAGCCTGAAAATAAAGGAAACAGGAGTATAGAATGTCATAAAAACGTTATTCAAAAATTCATAGTATAGTATGTCATAAAAAATATAAGAAAATCATAGGCTATAGTGCGTCAAACATTTTTTTTTAAAGTAATTGTATAGTATGTCGTAAAAAATGTCAATAAAAGTCAGCTGTACGTAAAAAAAAATAAAAAGAGGCAATAAGTATGTCATGAAAAAGTTATAGTATAGCATGACAAAGATTTCCTTTAAAAAGTCATAGTATTGTTTGTATAAAAAAGTAGTAAAATTATTTCATAGTTTAGCTTGTCATAAAAAGTCATAGTACATCAAGCCATGCCAAAAAAAGATGTCATTCAGTTAAAGTTAAACCTGACATTTTTGGGATTTTAATATGACATTTTATTAAAAAGTCATAATATATTATATTGTACACATTTGATTAAAAAGCCATAGTATAGAATGTTAAAAAAAAATCCATTAAATGTGATAGTATAGTATGTCAAAAAATATCAAACATGTCACAGTATAGTATTTCATAAAAATGTCACAGTATATAGTATACGTCATTAAGCAGGGGGCGATGAGAAAGAAAGAAATGGCTGACGAATAAACCAGAAGTGTTAGGTTTTACTTGCATTCCTCTGCTTTCATGTGTTTTTATGAACCATATTTAATTTTTAATATTTATGTGTAAACGTAACGGCTGAACACCCACGTGCCCTCCTCTTTGTTTACCTTTTTTATATGACAATGTCTCACTCTACGTACTCCGGTCCCGTAGGTGGCAGTATGCACCATATAAGCATCGGTTGCATCCCACTATTTATGTGAAAGAAGAAGTAGAGGAAATATGACCTAGTTATTTTAATGAATATTCATGTCTTCGTTACAGGAAGTTGATTAACCTAAAAACAATATCCGCTGAGCTGCAGACATCTCTTTCCCAACGCAAGTCTGTGGGGAGAAATATAAGAATGATTTAGATATAAATTGTACCTTTTGCACAGCTCAACCTGAAACGGTTCCTCATCTCTGTTGGCATTGTAATCTAAAAAATAATGGGAAAATATTTCAAAATGTATTAGCGAAGTTTTGTACAAAGATTTTGCATTATTCTATGAACGTGTTATTATTTACCTATGACAGAAAGCTTCATCTATTGATTATTCTTGCCAAATTCTACATACATAAGTGTAAGTTTACAAGGCAGAGAGTTTTGAATTTTATATAAAAAAAACTTGCTGTACCGTTAACAGCAGTAATGGCATGCATTGCCTGTAATATATGTATGTCATTACACAATTAGAATGTGTCCCCTTTTTATCTTTCTTTATATAATTTATTTACGTGTTTATATTTTATTATTTATGCCTTTATATCTGTCTATCTTATCTTATCCTCTGCGGTTGCCCCCCTGACATGTTAGCTTGAATGTATGTATTTTGTATTTTGCGCTTTCTTAACAGTTTGTGGGAAGCCGTTTTGGGCCCCGCGGTATCACGTGACGGACCCGGAAATTGTAATTCCACGATTGTCCACTACATAGAATCTGCTTCACAGCCCGGCGCTCTTACTGTGGACTTGATAGGAACATACTTAATGTTTTTTTGGCATACTAAATAGCATGGTAGTATGGGTGTTGTAACGCACACTCGGACACACAAGTAACGGGCACATTGTGTGGCTGTCGCCGGTGATCCATTCGGCGCAGGTGTGACTCTTATGGCACGAGCCCAGTAACTACTATAGACTGTATAATACAGGTAACTATAGCGTCAGTGTAGCTACATGCTAACGCTAGTTGACAGCACTCTGAGCTCCAGACACAGACAGGAGGAGCAGGTGAAGCGATTAATGATCCCGGTCTGCTGCAGTTAGTTATCTCTGAAGAGTCTAACGGTCACAGGGCGATGTTGTCAGTGTTCGTCAGGTCAGCTCTCACCAAATGTAAGTCACAAGGTTCTGCTCGTTTGCTGTTTTATCGTGATACTAATGAACATGTGTTGTATTGTCATATAACTTCACAGTGTAGCTGATGTTAGCTGTACAGTCTGTTAGCGCGCAATAGTTCGTAGATGAAGTATTTAACTGCGTGAACAAGCTTCATAGGGCTATGTAGGTGAAGGGTCACCAGCATTCTTGTTTTCATGCAACATGCAAGGTTGTATTGTCGAGCTCATCTGGGCTTTAACCAGTGGTGGAGGTAGTTTCAGATCCTTTAGTAGAAGTACTAATACCTTTTTAAAAATACTAGTAAAAGTCCTGCATTGGAAGTAAAGTTAAAGTTACTTTGAGGAACTTTTAACTGGTTATGAAACAGTCTCATTTAAATACTGATGCCTCTGTATGACCTTCATAAGTAAATGAGACCATCAGCAGGAAGGTCGGCTATTTCTATAGTTCTTAGTTCAGCCCTGCTGGAGGGAAGGGGGGCACGGGAGAACCAGGACCAGGACCAGGACCAGAACTTACTGCAGCAGACTGTCAGACTGCTGCAGTAAAATGAGGTTTTCTAAAGGGAGACTGGTGCTGTCCACAGGGACCTCCAAAATCCATACAAAATGGAAGTTCCTTGTAGTAACTTTAAGTAAAAGTATATAAGTATAATCAAGAAAGTGTACATAAATTTGTAAAAGTACTCTTGCAAAAAAACTCTGTGCATTGTGTAAATAGCTTATACACATTAATGAGTCTAGAGGTCTTGCATATTACTACGTGACCTGCATTACATCACGTAGATTACTACTATGTATTATCCACAGCCCAGGATAACAAGTTACTCTACAAACACACGTGTTTTACATGTGCAGACAGACAGACAGACAGACTAAAAGTGTGAAAAGTGGTTGTAGTAATAAGTTTAAAAAACTTTTCCAGAAGTTACACAAATTTAACTTGTAGAGTATTGTTGAATAGATCAGAGTATATCTGCAGTATCCTCGACGGCTGACATGCAGATATATTCCTAATTAATAGTTAAGAGTATAAAATGTTAGAAAATTGTGAAAACAAAATCACAATTTGCAAAAAGCCCAAGCATACAAATATAAGTCACACAACACCAAAAAAAGGCATCAAATCTTCACAGATGAGAACCGAGAAGAAATGTTGTTGCTTGAAAATGATCTTAAAGATTTATTGATCATCAAAATGGTTGCTGATTCATTTCAAATGGATCGTCTTCATGAATCAAATAGTTTCACCTCTACTTTCCTCCACTTTTACCTTTGTGTTTGACTGTTACCTTCTGATTATTTACCATCTCATCTACTCCCATTTCTCCTGTGTGACACTTTGTACTTCACTTATGTCTATTAACAAATACAAAAATATGTATTGTTAGCTTCTGTGTCAGAATGGTCAGTTCTTATTGCAGTGGAAAGAAAAACACCCCGGATTATTTTCATTATTGATTCATCTGTTGATTATTTATTTCTTTAAAGGATTTTTTTATTTGTGAAAACACCAGAAAAAAGCTAAAAAACCTCTTTAGTCCAACTAGCAGTACACAAACCTTATGATGTTTAATCAAAGACAATAATGAAATACTCATTTAATAAGATGGAAGCAGAATATTTGGTATTTTTGTTGAAAGAAAAAAGACAGAACTGATTAATCGACTATAATAACAGCAGGTGATTAGTTGTGTGATGATTTTCTGATTAGCTTCCACTGCTCTCTGTATGGATCTCTAAATGTAAGTTACTGTTTGTCGGCCACAGAGGATTTCAGTCTCATCCTGTGTTGTCTGTGTCATCGTGTCTCTATCCTCTCAGACAGGAGGTCCTGGCTGCCCGGTCAGGCTGTGGTCCGGGCCATGTCGTCCTCAGGTGGTGCCGTCTCTCCTTACACCACCCTGGCCATCAGTCACCCAGCAGAGTCCATCACACACGTAGAGCTGCACCGCCCGGAGAAACGCAACGCCATGAACAGAGCTTTCTGGAGGCAGGAATACGTTTCTATTCATATGCAGTCATTTCAGACACCAACAACTAAATGATGATGATGATGAGACATGTTTGTTTTTTACATATGAAATGCTTAAAGAAAGACTTCACCCCCAAAATGATCGTTTGTATATTAGTTACTCACCCAGTCTTACCTTAAGTTCTTGAAGTAAACTTACATTTTTTCGCATGATTCAACGGTGAATAGAATAGAAATAAACGGACAAAATACTTGAATTTAAATGTTTTTTTTATTCTTTAAGCCGAAAAAGTTTTCTTCAAGAATTCAATGTAACACGGAGAGAGTAATTGATGTACAAATGGTCATTTTGAGACTGAAGTACACCGTTAATGTTTTAATCCTTCTTCAAATGAAATCCTTTAGAGCAGTGTTTTACAGAAAAGTTGCGATGGACAAGAATATGTTGGGGCTGGATGTCGGCACTCATCTCCCAATTCAATTGAAAAGGTTTTGACATATGAAGAATCGGTTACAACATATAAATACCCATTTTCCATAAATGTGAGAGCACTTATAAGAACTTATCTCGGTAACTTTAAATGTATTTTTACTCCACAAATAAGAAACACTGTAAACTGTTCTTTTGTAAACAAACTTATTTAAAGAGAAAATGAATGCGAGGTTATCCAGCAGAATGCGAGGTTAGCCTTGGACAGACGCATAGGTGCACACTCACTCACGAAGAGGCGACCGATCGCATGATCCTTCTGGCTGAGATGATAAAGAGCAGCTAGCCTATAAAATGACTTGAAATAGATTTTGAAAGATATTTAATAACTTAACAGAAGGCGACTGTGTTGAGTCAGTGAGCAAATCTCTCTTTGAGGGCACAAATTACAGGATATTATTAAAACGTAAACTACTTTAATTCATGATTGAAGCACTTACACTAAAGTATTTGTTTAACAGTTTATCCAACACTGATGGTAACTGTTGTTGTTTTCAGTGAGATGGTGGACTGCTTTAATGAGATAGCTGGGGACCCGGGCTGCAGAGTGGTGGTGGTTTCTGGAGCTGGGACGGTCTTCACAGCTGGTGAGTATCTGACCGCTCGCGCTTCTTTTTTAACGACACTATCTCCATGGTAACGTTGTATTTGCTCTCTGCTGTGCTGCCGTCCAGGGATCGACCTGATGGACATGGCCGGCGACATACTCAGCCCAGAGGGCGACGACGCGGCCAGAATTGCCTGGAACGTGAGAAAAGTCATCGCCAAGTATCAAGAGACGTTCTCCGTCATAGAGAAGGTCAGACCTGAAGAGTGGTGCTCTTCATCCCACTGAGGATGAAGAGATCGGACCGCTCACAGATGTGATTATGTATTTGGATGGACACCATTTAAACTGTTGCATTGTCGGTGTACGTTTCCTTTTTCTTCTAGTGTCCAAAGCCTGTTGTAGTGGCCGTCCACGGAGCATGTGTTGGGGGAGGTAGGACTTCATCATCATCATCATCGTCACACTGTCAGTGTTTCCATGAATTCAGATGTCAGAGACCAGATATCACAAAGTTACATTAGTGGGTTAGCTAAAGCTATAGCTAGCCATAGCTTTAGCCTTTATTGTGATTTGAACTGGCAGAGAAAAGAGAAGTGAGGCCTCCGTGAGTTTTCACACCGTCATGGTCGTCATGGTCGTGGTGGATGTTTTGCTCTGCTGCAGGTGTTGATCTGATCACAGCCTGTGACATCCGTCTGTGTACCCAGGATGCCTGGTTCCAGATAAAGGTACGTCTAATTATCATGACCTGCTGAGGAAAAATGGGAAATGTCACAAACAGGGACCAGACAAACGATTAAGATGCAAAAAGTAAAGAAAAATAAAATGTGTGATTTAAAGATGGAGAGATAACTTAAGTTTGAATTAATTAAATTAACTGAGTGAAGGTAAAAGAAAAGGCTTCATATTTGTTTTTAGACTTAAATACCTGAGTAGATTGTCTCCACACACCGTAGATGTTCTGATAGGATACTTGTGGATGACGTCACCACAGTCTCAGTGTCTGCCTTTGTGGTCGTCTTTACAGGAAGTTGATATTGGACTTGCAGCAGACGTTGGAACTCTCCAGAGACTTCCGAAAGTCATCGGCAGCCGCAGGTAAACGGGCTATTTTAATTAACATCTTTATCAATATTATCATACATTATCATCTGTTGCTCGCTCTTAAAAGTCACAGGATATATGTAGAAATACATGTGATGTAGTGTGCAAGGCATCAATACAGTAGAAAAATAACTTTTTGATGGTTTTTCTGGTGAAAGTTTAACGCCAGTACGGACTTGGTGTTTCAATTAGTTGCAAATAAAATAAATATCCATTGCAGATTTTTTGCTCACCCTTTTTAAAACACTACATCACAACAATAACACTAAAATACTAGGGACATTTTGGGTTAATGCATATAATCCATATATGGCAAAAACACGGCGCCTGATCCACGAAATAAAGATAACAAAATGTCTGATGGCAATATAACATACATAACTATGTATAAATAAGCTACACATTCACGATTTTGCTTTCCTGTGGTTTAAAGTTGAGTATGACGTCCATATTGTTGTCATGTGACACTTTCTCCAGCCTGGTGAACGAGTTGGCTCTGACTGCCAGGAAGATGTTTGCCGATGAAGCAAAGAGCAGCGGACTGGTCAGGTAAACGCATCCTACAGAATCACACCTACATACAGGAGGTGTTTTCTTTTCCTCAGTATTACTGAGCCTGTGTTGATTCTGACGTGTTTGCACCATCATCTCAGTCAGTGAACCAGCTGCATCAACGTTTATTGGTAAATTGATTGAGTCAGCCCCACCAGGGGTGGTGCAGCGTACATGCTCCTCCTCTTTACTGCCGTCTCTCAGTGAAGTGCTGCTTTTATTATTGGTTGCTTGTCTTTATGGATATATTTACCTTTCTGACTAGGAGAAATGCTATTTGAGATTTTAAATATAGTATATCAATTATACATCATAGAGCAACCATCACCTATTTTAAGCACTTATTTGTTCCACACGTTTCCTCTCCAGCCGAGTGTTTGCAGATAAGGAGGCCATGATAGCTGCAGCTCTGGAGATGGCCGGGGAGATCGCTGGTCGCAGCCCCGTAGCCGTGCAGGGCACCAAAGTCAACCTGATCTACTCCAGAGACCACAGTGTGGCCGAGGGACTGGACTACATGGTGAGAACACCGCCTTTATTTTCTCCTCATCACCACAATGCCTGGATATTAGTCAACACTGAGCACCTCGTTTGTCCCTTTCCAGGCTACCTGGAACATGAGCATGCTTCAGACTCAGGATGTGATGAAATCAGCTCAGGCCTCCATGGAGAAGAAGAGTCCAAAGACCATCGCCTTCTCCAAACTCTAAACTCAAGAGATGCTGTTTTATTCCCCCGCTGTGGGAAGAGGGGGGACCACATGGGATTTTGTCTTTCTAAATATGTGGCCATATGAGGATGACTTAGTGAGACTTTAAGGGGAGAGTTCACCAGCTTTTATGTGGCTGTCCAATCAGTGCTGATGGTAAATGAAAAGATAAATCCTCCAGTGCGAGCTATATTGACCCTCCTGCTAAGGAGCCGTGTTAGCTGTGCCTACATGTACCAGGATGCATTGCGAACAGTGATTTTCCATGTCTGACAAAGAAAAATAACTCTCCTAAACTTTATTAAATACAACAGTACACCTTCGGAATTCAAGTTTCTCTCTTACACTAAACTAAGACGGGCTTACTTGCTCTGTTAACTGATCCTAAAACACCCAATAACATTATCTGTACTTATTTTGCCTTTTTTTTTTTTAACTGTTGGAAACGTGACAAGAGCACGTTTTTGGAGTAGCGTCAGCTACCGAAGTTGAGTGTAGAACTCCGTAGTTTTTTTCCGTATACCAAGTGCGTCACTGGAGGAAGGGACATGAGCAGATTTTTGCAGCTGCGCCCCCACAGAACTGCAGGCATTTTTTCCCACTATATACCCAACTGATAGGAAGAGAAGGTTGATAATCTGAATTTTCCTTTTAAGAAATAGAGGCTTGAATCCATTGTTGGAAATGAGATGATTGGTTTCAAAATATCTGTATTATTGTTTAGGTGGAAAAGCCTCTGAAACAGGATACTCTACTTCCCATCTCATTTGTGTGAAATCAAGTTATTTTGAGGTTAACTTCTGTACCACAGGTGACAAACTGAAATATGAGAAGTGACTCTCAGCTTGTCAGTAAAAGAAAAAAATAGTAACTGCAAGTTTTTGTAATTCTGTAATCGACTTCAAGAATGTTTAATCTTATTAAACTCATCTGAAAGTTAAGAGTTGGCTGTGATTTTGAAATATCCATTCTTAAAATAACACGGGTGCAAAAAGTGGATTAAAATAACTTAAAAGGCTTTATTGATTTAAAAAAAAAAAAAAACACTTTACAAATGTATTTAAAAAGTAGAACCAGGACACATTCAAAGTAGCGGCGGCGTCTGCTTGGCCCGGAGCTTCTGTAAGGTTTTCTGTGAAGAGATCGGTAGAAAGTATTCAGGCAGCTAAAAGCAACAGTTTGGTGCTCGCAGTTCTGAAGAAGCATATAGTCTTTACAAATATATCCTCTCAAGAGCTTTACCTTGTGGAACTCTTTGGCCTTCAGTCTGTTGGTTGCAGAAGCTTGCTGTCGGCTCCTGATGGCTTTCTGACGCTTCACCTCCTCCAGCTGCTCGTACAGTCTGCACAAACACAGGGTTGCTTACAGATACACTGCATCCTTTTGAGAACGCTGTATCTTTGTGATTGAATGCAAGTAATCACATATTGGGTTTAACAGATATAACATGTAGTCACAGTGTCTGTTGCTGTTTGGAAACACAGCGTTCAAAGTTAAGTCCTCTCCGTGTGGGAGAGGCTGGCTTAAATATAAAAGATACAGATCAGTCTATACATACAGTAGTTGAGGAAATTGTTACATATAAGTTATACATTTAACCCTTCAAACTAATTGTAAGAGTAGTAGTATAAGCAACATTTACTCCACAGACTGTGTGTGAAGGTTAAAAGCTGATAATATTGTAGCGGTACCTCAGAGTTCTCTGGTGCATCTCAGAAACATCCCGTTTCCTTTGCTCCGGTGTGCAGCTCTTCACCTCGACCACCTGTTTAACCCTGGGATCCCTCGCTGAGGGAACAGACAAATTACACAAAGTCTTTACACAGATTATTGCAGACCACTTTACAAAAGGACTTCAGATGAAACCTTTACTCCGCAGTGCAGCACTCAATGATTATAGAACACTCCTTTTATTACCCTAACACCATCTATCCCAACACCACTTTAATTCTAGGTCAGACATCCATATCTGAAGTCTTATTACCATGAATGACACATGACCAAGACTATTTTTCCCCTTTGTATAGTCAGTTTGCATATCTCTTCCTACCATACGACTCCTGGAAGGTTCTGTAGTCGACAGAAATAGATTTTTAAACTGATTGTTTCACTTTCACCAGTAACGATTTATTGATGGCTGGGCATAATGCAACTGATCAGCTGAGATAATTGTGACGTTTTAATAAGAAGGTAGGTTTTAGAAGGTAAAACTGTCCACCAGGAGACGCACATCTTGACACAAGCGTTAGTTCTAAGGTATCTAACAAACTGCTCCAACGTGTGAGCCTGAATGGATCGTCTCATTCTGCCACCCATCATACAAACGTTAAGCTATTTGTGGCCCAACCAAACTCTTTCCAAACATTTGTTCCGATTGGTCAAAAGTGGTACAACTTTTGAATTTGTTTTAGACATTAAAATTTTTATTTTTTTTAACACTGCATATTTGTGCATAGCTTTGATAATTAACTGATAATTATCCCGCTGAAGTTCATAGATCCCAAATACTTGATTTTGCTTCTTGTAGTATTGTCAGTGCACACATGCAAAGGGCTCCTATGGTAAACGGACTGTACTTGTAGAACGCTTTTCTAGTCTTTCCGACCACTCAAAGCGCTTTCACACTACTTATCATTCACACACTGATGGCAGGTGCTAAGTGACACCTGCCTATCAGACTAACTCATTCACACACACCGTAGGCACAGCTACAGGAGCAATTTTGGGGTCAAGTCTCTTGCTCAAGGACACATCGACATGCAACTAGCGGAGCCGGGGATCGAACCACCGATCCTCCGATTGAAGGACGACCCTGCTCTCCACAGTCGCCCACAGGTGAAAACATTCTCTATTATTTTCTATGGGTTTCAATGCACTCTCAGGATGCATGTCTGTTTGCCTCCATAAAACCTAAGGACATACTTAAGATAATAGTAAAAATATATATAATAGAAGTGTGAAATGGAATAAAGTTCAGATACCTGGAGGGAGAAGCTGGGGCGTTTTCTGCTCGATGGAGCCAGATCTCTCATTAGTTTGATGCGGCTCAGCCTGTCCCCCCTTTGACTTGGTATTAGTCTTATGTTGAGTTTCTGCCTTCATCTTTGCCTTACTGGGGACTGGCTTAGATTCCTTAGCTATAGACTGCTCTCTGGCTTCAGGTGGAGCTGAGATCTCAGGTTGAATCTTTGCAAGAGCCCCTTTGGCCTTGATCTCCTCCACCCTGCGGGACGATCGCTGGAGCAGCGCTCTGCGCTTCTGCTGGTGGAGCTCCTGCAGGTCTCTGCTGGGATCCCACTGAAACTCCAGGAGCGTCCCTGGATCTAGGGACAGGAAGTTTTCCCCAAATTTACAACGTTCTCACTGAAAATAAGAATGCTAAAAAAAAAATGATATATAGAAAAAATTATAAAAACGGTACAATGTGTAAGATCTGGCAAGAAGTTTTGCTTAAAACATAAAAAAAAAAAATGACCAAACATTATCAAGACGTCTTTGTATTGTGTTGCAGAGAGATCTACTGAAATGAGGATGCTAACCAGCTAGCCCCAGCCCGTCTTGTCACACCACTTGTACCTCTACCTGCTGCCCCGAGGGCTCGTCAGTCACGTTGAAGGTACAGCCCCCGGTTAGTTGCACAGTAAACACAAAGACAGTCAAGGAAACCACATTCGGCAGCAAAGAAAAGAAGCGATGTAACAAAAGAAGCAAAACCAGGGTAAATATTGGCGTGGCTCTCCACCGCTGGACGGCTAGGTTTGATGCTGAACACAACATGTTTCTTTTACGACTGTAAGTAACATCTAAACGTTGGCTATTTTGCATCTTTAGTGCAACTAATGACACAAACCAAAGAAACATTCCAACTAGAGAGTCAGTATATGGTTTTCTTGGTAAAACAGAGCTAAGCAAGCTGCAACGTAAGTCATACACTGACCACACGGGAAGATTGTCTCACAGTTTCAGCAGTTCGGTCAAATTTTGACGGACGGTAGGAGGCGGTGAATTGCTGCCTTTATTTGTTTGGAGCACGTGGCCAGGCATTACAGCTTTTAATTAAATCTGTTTAAGTATGTTGATTATTGCTACTTTTCTGTTCCCGATCCCTATACATCTCATATAGATATATTCAGTCTGTAACTGTACCTGGGTGTGTGTGGTTCTCGTCCTCTGGAGTCCCATCCTGTGCCGACGTGGATTCAGACCTCTAGAAGAGACGAGGTCTGTGTTCAGAGATCAGAAAGACGCCTGCTGAAGTCAAAAACATGTGTACATGTGCACCTCTGTCTCTTGGGCTTGCTGTCCCTCTTCCCTCACGCTGTCAGGATGTTCATCTTCCCACGTTCCCTCTTCCTCAGTGATGGTCTTCTCTTGATCCTGCATCGTGGTGTCGCTCAGGCTCACCAGTGTTATCTCCGACTGCTCTAGGATCCCCTTCTCACCGGCAGCTTCCTGATGGACAGGGAGGGATGACAAGCACGCAACTCAGCCAACGACATTGCACACAAGTTCTAAAGCAATAAGGATAACAAGGTTTAACAACATAACGGAACTGACATTTTCCAAAATAATCTGACCTTCAACTCAACAATTAACGTCCTGCAGCCGAAGCTCTGACTGGGCAGGTGTTGCCTTTATGAGCACTGCAATAGTCAGTTAATGTCTGAAGGATGATGCTTTAGTGAACAAAAAAAACATAATCGTACCAATATCTTATCTGAGAAAGGACAGACTCGGTTTCTGTCTGCTCGAGGTCCCTCCGACATGTCATCACACATTGTTAAACGTGACAAGCTCAGAGCTGTTGGCTCCTCGTCCGTCCTCGTGTCAGGAGACAGCACGAGGACGGATTCATGGGGGTGGCACTGGGAGGTGATGAGCTGGGAGAAGGATTCATGCGAGGCGGGGGAAGCTGCCGCGCAGCTGGACGGCTCCTCCGCTCTGAGGTGCTCGGAGGACGGCTCGGACTCATCGGTTTCAAACTCCTCGGAAGACGTGGAAACACCGTGTTCCCCGCTGGCCGGCTGTCCCTCAGGGGACGTAGGCACTTTGTGTTCGGGCAGGTGAAAGGTCATGGAGAGGTCTGCCGTTTCGTTGTGGGTGACCTCAGCCAGCAGCGGGTGGAATGAGTCTGAGTCTGGAAACACTGAAGATGGAGATAAACATGAACATTAAGCACACCATGTTTCTAACTACGCTAGGCTGAATGTTGGAGTGGCACTGCGCTGGGAGCGCAGTGCCTTTCTAAAAAGTTTAAAGAACGTAATTTGGAAAAAAAAATAAATAAAAAAATAAAAAAGGGGGGGGGGGGGGGGGGGGGGTGCTGGTGCAGCGCTTCATCTCTAGGCAGCCACATACGCGTTCTCCTCATTGGGAACAATTGAAAAAGACGCTGGTGCTCATTAAAAAAAACTAAAACAAACCAACACTGAAAAATAACAGCAAATAAGTAAAATAATTAATAGAAATGGCTGAAGTTGGCTCAAAAATCAGCAGTAGAAGGAACTCATACTCTTTTTGCCTCAAGTTTCTGAACTCAAACTTTGACTTGAGCTATAAACAGACTATAATATACATAATGTGCGTGATCGTAATACACTCCAACAAAACACACCAGAAGATTGTTTTACAACTCACTGTAACTGCTTGAATATGTTATACCTCACCTTCAGTCCTCTCTGGGTCCAGGTCCATTGGACTGGTTTGGTTCTGCTCCGTCTGGTGAAGTGGATTCACACCAGGGACCGAGGCCCTGTGTGACGAGGCTTCTGGAGGCAACGACGGCACACTGGCTTCAGTTGAGACACCAAGATCCACGTAAGTTCTTTCATCTGCAAAGCAGCAGAGGAGTTGATGACAAACTCTACTTTTTTTTTCGTACCAAGAGGAAATGGATGAGCACAGACACACACACATACTGTGTCAAGTGTTTAGAACAAGCTGGATTATCAACAGGCAAGGTGTGGCAAGATTTATCAAACCTCTTCTTCAAACTTCACAGTAGAACCAGAAGGCTAGTCTAGAGTTAGTATGTTGAACATCAGCTGAACTAATCCCAGTTCAAAGCTCTTCAATCTAACCACTGAGTAGACTGCAGAGGGCCCAAAGAAAGACACACCCACTCAATATTTAGAGCCCAGTTCAGTAAAGATGGAGGATCACTGAAGACTACATCCAAGTTCAACAGTATTCTCTCCCGTCATGTAACACTGAGGGGACGTCAGCTAGATGGAAGTTTGAATCTGACTAGGTGTACATATATGCACACAATCAGAGTAATCAGATGAAGGAAATAGTTTGATTTAACCGAGTTTCAAGAGATTAGATTTTCTGAAAATGTTTAATCAGAATGTTCTCATCAATGTAGAAGATGTAATTGCGAATCAATATATGTCGTTATACGATTCCATTGAAAGACAATAAATCATCATATTAAATTATTGCCCAAAACTATTATGGGGTCAAAACTATGTCAAATGCAAACAAAACATTTGGTGTCCGACACCAAATGTTTTTGTTTTTTTTAAATCAAAAGAATGTAAGATTGGCATTGATAGAATAGGTTTTGATTCATTCATTTCTATTTAGCATTAATTGTTTAACAATAAAACATTGCAAAGATGACAAATAGCCATTACAAATAAATATTATGGAAGTCGTCTTTTTTTTTTTTTTTTTTTTTTTTTTGTCAACAAAAGACAATTTAAAACCTTACAACACGTTCCCGTTCCCCCACACACTCCTACCTGAGCTTCCACTGTGCTGGCCAGCGGACTCATCCAGCTCCACAACCAGCGGCCTCATCCGGCTCTCCTCCGGACCTCCATCCAGCCACGTGGTCGACTGCTCCAACGCCATCCGACCCGTCAGCTGGTCGGCGTAAAAGTCCTGCCCACCGCTCAGCCAGTGAGAGCTGGACTGATGGGAGAGTCGACCGATCATCCGACTCAGAGTGGAATCCCATCCACCGTGATCAAAGCTCACCGAAACCGGCGGGCCTGGCAGCTGACCAATCATGGACGAGTGAGCGGACGGTTGACCGACCAGCTGCTCCATGGCCGAGTCCCTCTGGTCAGCGGCGAGACAGGACGACTGGTCCGCCAGCTGGCCGATCAGAGGTCTGAAGGAGTCCTGTTCCTGGTCCTCGGCCAGTGACGGGTCCTCTCCTGAGAAGTGCTCCGGGATCGGATTAACTGCATTGTGCCAATCCTGTAGCAAAAACAAAACATCAGTAAAATGGTGGGTATTTTTATTTTACAGTAAACTATTTATACTGCAAAATAGCCATTGTGGATTGTGAGTCACTGACCAGGCCACTCCTCTGTGCTCCTGCGGTGTCCGAGGGAAGAGACCGGCGAGCTGTAGAGCTTTCATCCTCCCCGCTCCTCTCCGGGACTCGAACCGAAGCCTGCTGGGAAACTGAAGAGCCGGGTTCCTCCACGTATGAGCCTTCGCTGTCTGCGGACCGACAAGAGAGGAAACGAGACCAACGTGACGCAGCCTCCTGAGACGAAATGCTGATTCATGTGCTTCCACTGAGTTTGGCCTGTTCAAACTAAAACAGGTTTGTGGCAATTTAAAAATTCAGATTTGGATGGTCGCTATACCTTTAAGTTATATTGCTCAACAACGTCCTTAAAAAAAACACTTCATAGACTGATCTAAAATGAATCACTTGTTACCCACTAGAAGTGTGTAGCGGTGTCGGTATGTAAACAGACCCTGTCCTCTGCTTGCGTTTGCTGTGTACAGGACTATTATTCCCCCCCCTCCCACCAATAAGCAGGGTGTGCTGCCCATTCTCATGTCAAACACCGCCACTTTGTCTTGCCCCTCGGTGTAAAAAAAGACAGGAGACACAGCAGGATGAAGTGTGCCTTGGGTTGCTTTCATTCAAATCCAAAAGAAAAGAAAAAAGAGAGTATTCTTGAAACACATTTGTAGCATACCTGTGGTTTTGCCAGCAGCGCCGAGGGAGATGTTAAGCTCCCTTGTGTATCTGTCTATAATGTTCTGGATGCTGCTGTCATTAAACAGAGAGTCCACAGCCAGACCAGGACGGCCTGCAGCCGAGCTGTCCTTGATACAGGAGCTTTGAGCGGACGGAGAGGAGATGTCGAGTGAATCTGCTCCTCGTCCTGGTTTTGCAAAATGTCTGAGTGGCGGGGATTTATCTAATGAAGAAGAGGGGGGAGAAAGGGAGGAAAACAGATTTAGGCTGTCATAGAATTAGAAACACAACCAGCATGTTGTCTGGATTATAAAGGGAACTTAACGGGACAGCGGGGTTATACGAGTAAGGCACTTATCCATAGGCAGTGCATTATACCTACAGTAGAAACAGACAGGAGTACCAGCACGGGAGCAAAGCAATGTACTGCTGTGGACTGGGCAAACAGCAAGATGTATTTTAGACACCTTAAAAAAAAATTTAAAAAATCTATATCAGTTTAAGTGTACGCTGTATTTAGAATATTTTCTCTGCTTTACCTCGTCGTCAGACAGCCCTTTAGGACGGGGAACTGAAGCCGGTTATTTTTCCTTTGCAGAACACAGGAACTGCTGGTCTACCAGTCTTTTTCTTTTTTAAGGCGTTTAAAATATGTTTTGCTGCTGCTGCTGCAGTCAACAGCGGTACATTGCTTTGCTCCCGTGTTGGTACTCCTGTCTGTTACAAAAACATCCCAACAAGCCACACACGCTGCTGTCCCTCACCGGCGTGGACGTTTAGCTCAGGATCGGTGGTGATGTAGCTGCCGGTGGAGATGGTGGTGGAGGAGAGGCAGTCAGAATCTGGAGTCCTATGTGCAGACTGACACGTGCACACAAAATAAGTGTGTTAAGGAGATAAAAATTTTTTTTTTTTTTTTTTTTAAAAAGAGCGATTTGGGACACGCTTACATGCACACAGATGCAAAGACTCACACACACTGAGCTCAGATCAAGTGTAGAAGCCCTCATGAAATGTATTTACATCAAATACACTTTAGGTCCAGGTAAATTCACATCATCGCTCTGTGTACAGAAACAACACACGACATATAGACAGACACACGCAAAGACACACACACACACACACGCAAAGACACACACACACGCGCAAAGACACACACACACGCGCGCACACACACACACTGAGCTCAGATCAAGTGTAGAAGCCCTCATGAAATGTATTTACATCAAATACACTTTAGGTCCAGGTAAATTCACATCATCGCTCTGTGTACAGAAACAACACATGACATATAGACACACAGCCCCACACACACACACACACACACACACACACACACACACACACACACACACACACACACACACACACACACACACACACACACTCCATAAAAGACAAAGGTTGACACACAAAGTAAAAGCTTCTCAAGCATAATCAGAAGCTGAGGCAGATATGTCTCTAGCATTCAGATTTGGCTATCTTTCATCATCGATCCACAGCATGTGAACCTCAGAGTGTATTAGGAAAGCAGTAAACGGAGCGCCTCGGTAGCCGAGTGGTTACAGCGTATAACCGCAACGTCCCAGGTGCGTGACACTGACAGAAGTGTCAGGCAGATGCTTTTTCACTGCATTCTGATCAAAACTGTTCCTTCACCTTGTAACTTTCTCATCAGTGTCTGCTGCAAAACGTTTGCCACGAGGTTTATGACTTGAAAGAGAACAAAGCGCTTCAGCAGGTTCGGTTACCTCTGCGGAGGGTCTGTTGCTTGTGACCGCAGGACCAGAAGAGTCAGCTCCTCTCCCAGAGTCGGAGGAAAGCGGTGAGATCATCCTCAGGACTGTATCTGGAAAACAGCGTTCCAACCCGAGAGGAAATAGTATTTGATCAGAAAATAAAGCTAACAGTTTTTCCTCCCATCCGTAGTCTTCATCTCATCACTCTTCACCCGTCCTCTACATACCAGACCCTGAGGAATCTGGAGACGTCCCTGCTCCCATCAGCAGCCTCTTTTTCCAGACTCCTCCCGAGCTTGTCCCAGAGCTGGTTGATCGTTCAGCCGTCCGCTGCCCACTGCTGGACCAAGAGGGCGCCTGCGGGGTCCTGTCAGAGGACATGGACGATTCAGAATCCTCCAGCCGATCCCAGCCCAGAGCGGGAGAGGGGACCGTCACACTATCCTCCGGGCCTGTGGGTAGGAAACATCGACAATCCAATCAAATGATAATCACCTCTCAATAACTTGTCACGTGGCGTGGGCGTGTGATGAAAACAGTCTTGTGTTTCTGGGGCTGAGCTCACCTGCGACTTGGCTGGAGTCGACCGGTGTCTCCACCTCTTGAATGGCACTGAGCTCGTGTTGCTCCGTCATCATCTCCATGGCGCCCAGCCTGACGCGGGTCACCGGGGGCTTCGCTGCTCGAGGAGGAGGGGGGAAGAGTCCTGAGGTGAAGACTGACGCCGGGGCAGGTCCGGCAGGAACTTCGCTCTGACCGATGAGATCTAAATGGAAAATTTAAAAATCACTTTTTTAAATTAAAAACAAGATACATTTAATGGGTTGGAATTTAATGGAAAATGTGTAAATCCATCCAAATGATTTTGATAATTAGTACCTATCAAAGGGACAAATAATAAAATGAAGTGGAAAAATGTTTCCGTCCTGCAGTTAAATGGAAAATGTGTGAATAAGATGTGAAACACTGTCTGCCCTCTGACATGGGATTTACCCGTCTCACCACTGTTGGCTGTCGGTTGCGGAGGGGAGCCGTCGTTCTCCTGAGGGTCTTCTAAGTGAGCTAAAGTTCCTCCGTTAGACTCCTCTATAGCTCTCAGCAGGGACGCCAGTAATTTGAGGCGGGTCTGACCGATGTCCTCTGAAACCAACACTTCACCGGCAGCCTCTGGAACCAGCTGTGGGTGAGGAAAATGCATCAGGAAAGTTGTTTTACCTATACGTGCACGCGGACTCACTGAGCTCAGTTCAAGTGTAGAAAACCATCACGAACGGTATTTTATAATAATACACTTCAGGTTATGGTAATTTCACATCATCGCTGAGTGTAACGAAACAACCACTTTGATTTTGATTCAATCTGTGGAGAAACAAAGTGATTTGTCTACTGTACTGCAACAAGAACACCAGGGCGGTAAATGTTCCCTGACTTACTTGTTCTTCAGTATGAATCAGAGCCTGCAGCGTCTCCTTTTGCCGCCTCATCTGCTCCATCTCCGCTTCCTGTCTCCGTCGCTGCTCCTCCTGTCTCTGCCTCTCCTCTTCTCGCCGCCTCTGCTGAAGAGCCACAGTATCCCTCAGCTCCAGCACCCGTCTCTGGACCTCCAGCAGCTCTTGTCTCTGTCTCTGCCTCTCCATGTCGTCGTCCTCCTCCTCCTCCTCCCCGGAGCTCGGGGACCCGGTCCGCAGGGAGCCATGTGGCGCGGGCCCTCGCTCGCCCAAAGGTGCCCTATCTGTGATGCGCGGGCTTGTGGCTTGGATGGAATCAGAGGCCGGCTGAGGCGAGACGCTGGCTGAATGATGCGTTGGGAACCGCTTGTAAGATGGTGGCTCGGAGGAGGGTCTCACTCTCTCTGGAAGGTGCTCCGTCACTCTCTCCATTATGTTGTCGGTCAGCCAGGCGGTGGCATCCGGTCTCCGGTTCAACGGATTGCTCGAAAAAGATCCAACGTCATCCGGCAGCAGCAGCTTGGAGCCAACGCTCACGCCCGGAAGTCGTGAGGGCGAAGCCGGCATGTCGGACTCTCTTGTGGGAACTTCCGCAGGGGTTTGCCATTTGGCGTGGATGTATGGGGGCGCCGCAGGGGTCGTAGGGAGCTGCGGGGGAGCTGGGAGATGAGCAGACTGAGAACCGTGCAGAGGAGAATGAACAAGGAGGCCCAAAGGCACGACGACCGGCGACGTGGCGGTCATGTTGTAACGTATCCGTAGAGCTCGCTGGTATTCCTCCAGGCGCTGGCGAGCCACCTCCATGGACCTCTGGTGAATCCTACAAATGAAAAGGTGGTCAGAGGAATACAAGTCAAGTCAATTTTATCCCAGCCTCAAGAGGCTTTCAGAATGTATACTTAGATCCTCTGAAGACGTGCGTTACCACAATAAAGTGGCGTCATTTCAGGCTTTAAAACACACCCGTTTTGTTCCAGCAGCCGCTGTTGGTACTCTTTAATCCGTCTGGTGTGTTCATCTTCACCTGCAGGAGGCACCAGCTGTAGAGTGCAGAGGCAGCAATTATTCCTCATTGAAGTAACAGTACTACACTGACCACACTTTACAAAGGGTATCTTAAAGGAAGTCCCCCAACAACACCTGTAAAAACTAGAAGTTGACAGGAATATCGAGAGGCCTACCTCAGTGGCTGCACCAGGATTGACAGAGGCGACTTCCTGGTGATGGACAGGTACTTCTGGTTGGTTGATGGGTTCGTCCTGGGTCACAACAGCCTTCAGGTCTTCTCTCTCTTGCTGGGCCTCGAGCAGCATTTGCTCCAATTTGGCTTTCTGCTTTTCCAGCTCCTGGAGCAAAACCACCTGCTGCTGCTTCTCCCTGTCGAGCTCCTCTTCCTGAAGAAATAATAAAAAAGGTTTAAAAACAGCGAACTTTTCCTGGATATTGACCGGATATCCAGTGCAAAGTAGTGCGGCATCAGTTAGCAAGTTGAGACTTTGCAGTTTGACCGAATAGTGAAACGCAGTCTTCAGAGGATCACCCTTCTCCACAGGAATAGCCAGCCAGCCCAGATCCTGTGTTCCTCTGCTGGGTGTAGATGCAACGTCCACCAGCCCCCATTATGCTCAACTGCATTTTATTTTTTACGAAAGAAAAACTTTGGTACGTTGGGCCCCAAAACAGGGAATCAAACCAAAGTCTGTAGTTGTTTTATGTACAAATAAGACAACAAGCCATGCATATTGTGACTGCACACCACCTCCACACAATCCTGCTTTAGATAGAGCCAGGACTAATTAAGTAACGAGGAACACCTGGACCAATTAACTCGAACGACCAATCGCAAAAAACTCATGAAGCCACTCGGATAATGACAGAACCAGATTTTGGATTATTTAAAAAAAACTGAACAGTGAATACAGACTGACTTCTATCAACTTGATATTGTGATCAACTTAAATGTGATCCAACAGCCGTCACTGGGTAAACATGAGGAGAAGCATCTAAACCTGTCGGATCACCTGCTCCTGCCTACGTGTGCAGTGTTTAGAAGCAGTTCCTGCATTGTATCATATTAAATAGGAATCAGCATGTACCCGTCTCTTTCGTTCTTCTTCAAACTCTTGGACTCTGCTTGCAAGTACATCGGGAAGTGGAGGATCTGCTGCAGACGACCGCTCCGTTGTCTCCAGCGCTGGTCGAATTAAACAGAAGAAAAACACAAAATGGTTATTATCTCACAACAACTTCAAACTGTGACTTCTTTGGCTGTAGTGGGATTTATATTTGGAAAACAAAACGGGAGCAGATCTCAAATTTGAGAAGAATGAACAAAAACCCTAAAAGACAAAAACAGGTGCTATAACTCTGGAGCCTAGTAGTAGACAGCACTTTGAACATAGAATTCAAATTTTAAAATAGTTGAAAATATTAACATTCAAGTTAAATATGACTCTAGTAGAAGTACAAAAGTATTAGCATCAACATTAAAGCAGGCTTCATAAAGGTAGGGCGACTCATCATGCAGAACGGCCCATTTCAGAATAAGTTACAGAACTTATTGGATCATAATTATTTATGCATAATGTGTTCATCCCTTTAATGTTGCAGCTGGTAAAGCTGTGGCTCATTTAAATGACTTTGTATACCACTGGATAGTTTAATCTATTATATTATATATGAACGTATTAGTTAATTCGATTTTTCATTATTATTCAGAATAAGGTATTTACTAAAATAAATGTAGTGGAGTAAAAACTACAATATTTTCCACAGAGATATAGTGGAGTAGAAGTATAAAGTAGCAGAAAACGGAAATACTTGAGTAAATGTACTTAGTTGCATTCCACCACTGTTAACATGAATACATTAAATCAACCTTTGTTAAAGATTTAAATGTGATTTGTGATATTGGGCTATATAAATATGAATACAATTGACTTGACAATACAAATCACTACAAATTAAGAGCTTGCCCAAATAAATGAGTGTAAATAGGGGAAAAATATGAAAACAATGAAAGAAGAAATCTCAAGTTCTTTAAATATCAAAATAGAATGTTTTAATCACATTGTGCTCGGTCTTCTAGATGCATCTTACTACAGTTGATGACAGTGAATGACCTACCTGGGTCAGGCTCAGGGAGCTCCGTGGGCAGCAGGAGGCCTTTCTCCTCGCTGGACAGAGAGCCCGTGTCGATGGTCGTGTCCCGCTCGGGGATCTGGTCGGTGACGGCGGTCGGTGAATCGGCTGAAGGGCCGCGACTGTCGTGGTCAGTCCACTGGTTCGTCTGGCTCCTGATGCGATCCAGGAGTTTCTTCAAAGCCCGTCTGGGAGCAGGTTTGGAGGACTCCGCTGCAAGTACAGAAGAACCTCTGAATGCAGTTCTGGCTGGGTAACCGCCTGGTCTTGTTCAAGATGCTTGTCCTTGACTGGAGAATTTACATAATTCTTATAATCTATTGCAATAAACCAAGATCTATGTATTGATGTTGTGTAAACAGCCTTTATTTAACAATTTGGTAACAACCCTTAAAAATGAATAAATAAAGGTTTCATGTGTATCTGGTGCTTCTCCTCACTGTGATCAGATAATTCCCGCTCAGCGCCATGTTGTGTTGTTGCTGCTCCTTGTGTGGTGATTCCATCCATTGAGACGTCCAGCTCTTGGTCCTGGCTGCCTGTGGACAGAGCTGGCAGAGGCTCGGGTACCAGCTGCAACACCAGGTCACCTTTGACCCCTGGGATCAGACACAGGCGAGGTTCAACGAGGCCCCAGTAAAACTGTACCTGTACGCGGTATCGCCCACCAAAGCACAGACGCTATTTTGCTGCGTGAATATACAAATAAAGCTCAATACGATGACGATTTAAGAAACTGTATTAACAAGAGTGACACCTTCTAGGCTACATCAGAATGATGCTCTCGAATCTGATGACGTACTTCGTTTTGTGACTATTTAGTACAAAACACATTCAAAGCTGAATACTACACAGCTGAACTGTCCTTACTCCTCTCTCCGGTGTACATGTCCTCAAAGGCAAACTCCATCTCCCTCTGGAAGTCCTCCCTCGTCTCCTGTCTCTTTAGGAGAGGCTGGAAGATCTGAGCGGGCATCTGGGACACCTGCTGTCTCCTCCTCAGCAGGTCCGTCTGCTGCATGTGCTCCAGTTCAACGAGCAAGCGCTCGCGATCCTGAAGGGGACCATCGAAAACAGATTCAGTTTTTTTTTTTAAAGCGCTCAATTCTGGATCAAGTGAGTCAAATATGTAAGACCCTTTTACGGACAGATCTTGTAGAGGTGTCAAGTGACTGACCCTGTAATGTGGTTTTAACTGAGCAAACCTCATTGATTTTTATTTTATTTTATTTCGGGTCTCCCCCGACATATTTTTCATTCCTCTTGCGTGCACACTTTACCTCTCCCAAAATGATCAGTTACCAACTTTAAAAATCTGTCGATGGCACAAAATATGAAGTATAATTGCCCATGTGCTGATGTATGTTTTGAGAAGAATCCCACACTTAATATTTACAGCCTAAATCCATGTTGCACTCTGATGCAAGACTACTGAACATGTTTATGGGGAAATGTTTTATCACAGTACCGACTCATTTTCTTAGGATGAACTGCACGTGGATTTTGGATGACAAATGTGTCAACACAGTAATATGCACCACTGCAAGCTGTACATGAAGCGGTTTGTCTTCTTACTGTGGTGAATGCTATTGTCCTGCTGGCCGGTCAATCGTGTTTGCAAAAGTTAGGGCAAGTTACATGAGAGCAAATAATCTCGCTAATACACATTTTGGTGTCTATCTGCTCATTTCAGTAACCGGTAAGTTGTACCTGGACGAGGTGTTCCCTCCTCAGAGCCTCCTTCCCTCTAAGGCGAGCCTTCTCGAGCTGCTCCTCTCTCCTCCTCCTTTCCTCCCTCTGTAAGTCCTGCAGTCTCCTCACCTCCATCTCAGCTCCCTGGTGGGCATTAGGCTGTAGGCACATGCACAGATTAGACAACTCTGACAGGAGGGAGGACAAGCTAACCTTTAGTGCACGCAATAATCGGAGGGATCACCTGCTTCGTGTCGGCCTCTCTGTCCACTATGCCCTCAGGCATGTGGTAATGCGTGGTGGCGAAGGCACTCAGGTCAGATTTCTTCACTACACACGGCTTCTTGGAATCGATGCTCTGCTGGAACAAGAGAAGCCGATGTAACCTCGACTCCTTCCAGAACCTAAACTGTGCAACTTAAAAAGTTTGTGTTTTTACGTTGTAAACGGGACAGATTGGTAGCAATGCTTAGTTGTGTGTTGGGAGGATGGAGAGAGATATCAAGCCTGAGCCAAAACATATGTGATAAGTGAACAGGTATCTGAAATCACCTGGCACATTTCTGTACTGAATCACTTTGCCCAAACTTAATTCTGTGACATCCATACTCCAATTTGGCACATTAATTATTACTGTGACCTCTAAAAGTCAGCCAAATCCAGCTGGCTTGTCGGGTCAACAGGACAATAGTAACGTTATGATCACTGATTGGCACCTGAATGGGGTTGGGGAGAGGCGGTGGGAGGCTGGCCACTTTTGCTGATCTTTCCTTTTCTGCGTGTAGCGCCTTCTTCCTGGCATTGATCGGTCTATAGACAAGCAAATGAACAGACTTAATGTTCAGTCGGTGCTGACTAAATTCCGACATGTAAACGTCTTTCGGGCAAATGTTTGTGAAGGCTGCGTACCGGCTTTGCCTCTCGTCATCTTTAAGCCTCTGTGATTTGAGCTCCTTCAGGGCTTCCCGATAACGCTCCTCTGCTTTGACGTGATTTTCCTCCTTCCTCTGAGCTATGGCTTCCAAGTCAGGTTCCTTGTGCAGATAAATGAAAATTAAACAAAAATTCAATGATTGGGAGATTGTTTTCCCCTTATTGTGAGGTTGTTATATTGTGTTGTTCTGTTCACATTTTGGTTTCAGCTGTTCGGTGGTCGGGTGTTAATCTCTCTTTCGGTGTCTCCAAATTCATCTTACGTTTTCTTTTGCACTCCTGTGTCCCTGACCGACAAGCTGGAGACTCTCCTGGTAGAGCGTCTGCAGTGCGTGGAGTTTCTCCCTCTGCTGTCGCTCCCAGTCCTCCCTCAGCTGCTGCTCCAGCTGCTCCAGCTCACGCTGCCGTCTCTGCTCAACCTCTCGGCGGATCTGCAGCGAGATGCACCTCTGCTGCTCCCGCACCTGGAAGTCAATGCACAAATAAATAAATATATATATATATATATATATATATATATATATATATAAATAAATAA